CCATTATTCAAAATATCTTTTACAATGCTGTCAGAACAGCAAAACATCTCAAGAATATATGTACCTCTATAAAAATCCATTGATTTTTGGGTCCTAACATTGGTGGAAGATACTTGGCTGCTGATAAAAATGAGAGGAAATTTGTGATATTATCGTGGGAACATACTACAGACCACCTGGAAAGATGGAAGATACAGATTATATTTTTCTAAGACAGATCATAAAGCTAGTACAGGTAATAGTAAATAATAAGGATATTTCAGTTATCTGAATATCTGCAAGAGTTCTCATCCATCTAAAAGCATGGTAGCTGTTATGTTTTTTGGCTTCCTTTGTGGACATCTCTCAGAATGTAATGAAATAGACTGTTACTCTGCCATAATAACCAACAAGGAAGAATCTGTTGGTGAAGTGGAATAGGATTGCTAGAGGAAAGTCACTATGTCATCCTATGAGTTCATGATAGTCAAGGAAGAGAACATTGAGGATTGTCAGATATGTGTCCAGATGTTAAGGAAAGTAGATTCTAAATAATTCAGAGAAATAAGATGCACAGTGAGAATTCCCAGGAAGTGACGAGTCTGTTGGAAATGGGTAATATGGCTCATCATGCCTCTACTATGCAAATAAATTATCATTCTAGACAATCACGTGCTATTTTCCCAGTCAGCATCTGCCAACAGGTTTTTACAGTGTTTCTGAAAAGAATATAAATAATTCAAAATATTGAGCCTGAAGCATTGAAGAGAAAAAAAAAAGGAGGTTCTCAGAAATCAAACTCTGAAAATATAACCTTCCTAATGAGAATGAAAAGGGGAGACATAAACCAATGTGGCTACAAGGGGAATTTTCCAATGAGCTGAGATTTTTCAAAGATGGATGGTAAAGCCTAAGTGTCAGGAAAGTTAAAGTCCAGGATTAACTGAGACTTGTGGGAAATTCTATAGATAACAACAGCAAAGGCTTTTTTGCTTATTAAAAAAAAACAAAGAAAAGATAAGCCCACTACTTTGGCCAGAAAAAGGCAAAATGGGACTACTCCACTCCTATTTTGTTGTTTTCTCTATCGGAAAGAACATTGATTCAGGAATCAGGAGACCATTCAGTTTCCATGTCTACTACTTGTTATTGGAATCTGGGTTAGAGTCCCAGCTCTGCATCTTGTTATATGAGTAAACAAGTCATTTGTGTCTTAGCTTCTTCATCTGTAAATTGAGAGGGTGGGCCTTGAAGTGTGGCTCCAGCATTACTTCTAACTCTAAATTCCCCAGTCTGTGATTTAGATGCTTTAAATATGTTTAAGTCCCATGACTTGACAGCCCAGGATGTTGGAAGAACTTTTACAGATGTGATCACCAAACCAATATTGGAGATCACTGAAGAATCTTAAGATCAGAGATTTTGAGCTGCAAAAGACCTTCCATGTGCCATCTAGGCCAATCTCATCATTTGCATATGGGAAAAAGGAGGCTCAGAGAGGTGGTGACTTCATACAGTTATTCAGTGTCAGAGGCAGGATTTAAACCAATGGCTTCCTGACTCTGAGTCCAACACTCTCTCCATTAGGGATGAAATTCTAAAAGGCTTCAGATTCAGGTAGATGCCCAAGTTTTCAAAAAGGCAAGCCAGTGAGCCATTTTCTAGAATGAATCTATTTAAGATTATTTGTGGATTCTTAGTGATTACTATGGGTCAACCTAAGTTCACTAAGAATAAGTCATGCTAAATTAAATCCACTTCCTTTTTTCATATAGGATAGAGTTATTAGATAGGTAAACATTATAGACATATAACTGAATTTCAGCAAACTTTTAATAACAAAGTCTTTCATGATTGGTTTCGAAGCAAGATGGGTAAATGTGGGAAGGATGATAGTATATTAGTCAATTCATAGCTATTTAATCACCAGCTCTAAAGTGTGTAGACTAATTCTTGTGCTTAGTCCTTTTGAAACTTTAACCATTGACCTGAATAAAAATTTAAATAGATTGTTTATCATATTTTCTTTTTTTTGAGGGGGGGATTATTTCTTTTTCTTTTCTTTTCTTTCTTTTTCTTTTCTTTTTTTTTTAAGGCAATTGGGAGTAAGTGACTTGCCCAGGGTCACACAGCTAGTAAGTGTCAAGTGTTTGGTCTGAGGCTGGATTTGAACTCAGGTCCTCCTGACCTCAGGGCTGGTGCTCTATCTACTGTGCCACCTAGCTGCTCCCGATTTTTATCTTTTTTTTTTATGGTTAGGCAATGGGGTTAAGTGACTTGCCCAGGGTCACACAGTTAGTTAGTGTCAAGTGTCTGAGGCCAGATTTGAACTCAGGTCCTCCTGACTCCAAGGCTGGAGCTCGATCCACTGTGCCACCTAGCTGCCCCCTGTTTATCATATTTTCATTATCATATTTTGGTGGATTTTTGTGCCTCTTTTACCATTTGGCCTAGACATTTATGGATTTTAAATTTCCCTTTCCTTTTATCTGAGAAAATGAAGATTTTCTGTTGGTGATGGGTTTATATATGCAAACTCCCTTCATTTTCCTCTCGCCACAAAACATGGTGATGATAATAATAATAACAATAACCAGGTAATATATGATAATGGTAAGAGCATCAGACTAAGAGATCTAGTCTCATTCTAGCTCAGTCACTAAACAGCTCCGTGGCTTTGGGAGCAAATCTTTTAATTTCTTCTGGGCTTAGTTTCTTCATGAACAAAATGAGAATTCTAACCTATTGCCTCCCTACCTCACAGAGTGGTTGTGAGACCAAATACACTTTCCTGATGTCCGTGACATGGCATCATGACCATTGCTGGTGAGGAGGAAGAAAACAAGGGGATGCAAACACGTGGTAGTTAGGCACATCAGGAAGTAGAGCATGCTGAGGATGTGTGTGCGCAAGCCACGCGGAGCCCGTGGGAAGAAGGGAAGCTGCAAGACCAAATTCGGCAGGAGGAATGGCAGCAATCTGTCTGTGGGAGCTTGTCCTTCCAATACCATAAGCCTTTCCCTGCTGGCAATGGGAGCACCGCAAGAGAAGGTTGATAGGAAGAAGCCAAAACGTTGGCAGCTGATGGAAGAAAATCACAAAGAAGGCAGAGTCTACTTTTCACAAAAGTTCCAAGAGGAGAAGAGGACCAAAGAAAACAAGAAGCAGTCTTATCTGGTCACGGGGAGGGGAAGCCGATTCTTAGGTGATGATTCATGATGACTCTTCACTTTGTGAAAAGAGGAGAACAGATGCCTAGCAAGGCACTGCAGGGTGGGTACCCCGACTACCAGTTCAGCTGGTGTCAACCTAGCGACAAAGATGTGATAATTCAACTTCATGGAAGTGAGGAAGGTCATGTGAAATTCACATAAGAGGTCATTTGGGTTTATTTCATAGGATTATGGATTATTAGAATGAAATGGGGCTTTAGACATTTTCTAGTCCATTCCCCATCCCCCTTTTTATAGCTGAAAAAGCTGAGGCCCAGAGGGGTTAAGTGAGTTTTTCCAATATCACACTGTTAGTTGGGAGATGAAGGTCTAGATCTGCTGGAAGAACTGTGGTGATTCCACTTCAGATCATGGCTCTTGCTTGGGCTGTGAAGGAATAAAATGGCAGATATAGGAAATATTATGACTTGGATAAAATGATAGTTTCAGTAGAAGTTGCAGGCAGCTTTGGAGTTTGGAGAGGAACAAAGAAATGTAAAATACGTTTGTAGTAGCAAGGGGGAAATGGGGCTAATTAACTTTAAAGTACTTTTCAGTTAGAGAATGATGGAAGAAAGAGGTGAAGACATGCTATATATTAATGAGGTTAAAGAGATCAATTGACCAATTTATGGGCAGAAAACATGTTCTTCTAGATTAAAAAAGGACATAAAAGTGCTTTCTATAAAAATAGGGCTAAGTGCAACCAATTTGGAGAAGAAAATTCTGTGTACTTCTCTGACTCAAAGGGAGTCAGAGCACACTTGAACCAGCTTCTAGAGCCCAGAAATAAAAGGACAAATGAGACTATCAAATGGTAATGCAGAAATGGGGAAGATGCATTGTAATGGGAGTGAGAGCTTCAGAAAGAAATAGAGGCAGCTTGGTGTAGGAAGACTTGAATGCAAATCCCAACTTAAATACTTATTAACTATAGGAAAAGAAGAATTGGAACAAAGCAAAGATGCTACATGGAATGTTTACACAATAACCTCTTGACTAAAGCTAAAATAAAGTTTGGGGCAGTTGAGGAAACACCTTCATAAGGGAAGGATTTAGGAAGGAGACATAGCAAGTAACCAGCATCTAAACCTACATGAAAGAATAGTGGCGGTATTTTGAAAAGTTAATTAAATGCAAAATATTACAAGAATATGGGCCAAAGATCCAGAGATCCTGTCTGACACTCTGATATTTGGCCTTATAGTGATCCTGTGGAAAAGGAAATGTCTGGCTATCGGTATTTTTAAAAAAGATCCAGCTTTTTGGTGTGGAAGTTAAGTAATGGAGACAGAAAAGACAAGAAATAACAAAAACAAACAAAGAAAAAAAAGTGCAGTCAAGATCAGAAGCAGCTTGAGAAACTCTTAGGAACACCAGCAGGTCTGGTGAGCTGCAGACACTAAGAATGGAGACAAAAATCAGTGACAGACACAGAAGGAAGAGCAACCTGGAAGTCTGGAAGACCACATGCACCTCAGGAGCCTTGGAAGGCAGACTTAGGACACCTCTACTCAGTACATTGGAATAGATGGGGAATATGCATGGGAGTGGGGAGAGGAAAAACTCAGCATACACTGCAGTAGCCTTGGAAGGCACAGTCTTAGGACAGATTTATGTCTGTACATATGATTTTGGGAGAGATGAAAGACAAAAAAAACCCCACATAGAGTAGGCCCCTAAAGCTATTGAAATGTCCAAGTTTGACCTTTATTCCCAAAATGTCCTTATCTAGAACAACACATTTCCCCAAAATGTTGGATAATCAACATTTTACCACAATTTGATTAGGAAATTAAATATTCATACCTTGATCCTCTCTCTTTAACGAAACTTTTGCTAGAGGAGGTAGTAGTTTGACCAGTAGATTCTGACTTTTCTTCTGTAGGAGATCCTACCCCAGTGCTAAAATGATATATATATATTTTGTTATTTATTAAAAAAAAAAAAGCACAGCCAGTTTCAATTCACATATACTCATTTCAATTCACACATATATAAATCTACATATATGATACACATTTCAATCAACATACACTCATTGACATCAAACAAGGTGTTAAAGAGGATATGTTCACCAAAGGTGTTTGTCAATATCATAGGAGATGTCCTGTGACAAATTTCTGATAAACACACAGAAAAAGAAGTTCAGAAAGGAGTGCAGAAACAAGAAAATTGTTCTCTTATTCAAATTAGTGAATATATTAATAAACAGACTATAAATAACAAAGATTTACAACTACATGCACAGTTATATACAATCACATTTTCCCCTTTGTTTTTGTTTATATATTTGTTGATGGTGGTTAAATAAAATTTATTTTTAAGAAGATATGTCTCATAAAATCCATACCAAAAGATGGTTTTTTACTGATGGCAAGGTTCTCTAAAACACTCTTATTGGCATATGACATCTTATTGAATGTACTACACTACAAAGCCTCCCCAGCAAAATCCATGACAAAACAGATATTGGTCAAACCATCCACTGGAAAGACAAAGTGGATGAAAAACATATTACCTATACTTTGAAATGCATTTGTATTACCAGACTGAATTAGTGTGTGTGTGTGTGTGTGTGTGTGTATATACACATATATCTGTATGTGTGTACATTGTTTATATATATATATATATACATATCTCTGTGTGTATATGCACAATCTTTCTATCTATCTGTCCATCCATCCATCCATCCATCCATCTATCTATCTATCTATCTATCTATCTATCTATCTATCTATCTATCTATCTATCCTTAGCTTGTACAAGCACTGCCAATGGATGAGCTGGGCCTGGAATGAATAAGAAAATGGACTAAGCTTACTGCTTTTAAAAAAACTGATCCATGACTTCAAGGCTATTAACACTGTTTCTGACTAGAAAGGCACATCTATTTAATATAAATAATATTCCAGTGATAACTGGCATGTAAGAAGTGATGTAAAAAAAATTATTGAGGAGACATAGAACCCAGAAAGGATGTAGACCAGCCATGCAATAAGAATGAGAGACAGCAAACAAACAAACCCACGGACAAGCAGATGGACACCCTCTAACAAATAAAACAGAAACAGAGGAAGGTGTCCAAAACATTGGGTAGAAGTTTGGAGGAGGATTTCTGAGGAAACGTGGATGACAACAGCTCCTGGTATGAAAGCATGGAAGGCTTGTGATCAGAGTTGGTGAAAGGGAATTAGAGTTGATGAATTCATCTTCACATTGATGAAATCGTGAATCCCTCAAAGTATGTGTTTAGAATGACAACTTTGAGATCAATCATCATGCAGAGTAAAAGTGGAAGACTGTCAAAATATGAGATTGTTTTTAGTAGATCTTGTACTCCAGAATGTAGAGGGAAAATACTGGAATACAAAAATACTTCTTCTTACCTGGCTTTCCCTTTTCTGTGTGAAGAAGAAGATCGTCCAGAAATAGAGTCTGAGAACTTATCTTCTGTAGTAGAAGGTGGAGAACTGAAATTTCACACATTTAAAATTATACACAAATGAGGTCATGTATTTGACAATGGCTCTGGTCCCACGAAACAAGCAACAATTTCTTCAAAGAGGAAAGAAAGCCCTTTTGCTTATGCTGAATTTTAACAGTAATGTGTTAAGACAATTTTATGAAGTATTGCAAGAGCTACGATGAAACATGACAACAAATGTGAAAGACGCTAACACCTAGCCATGTTGGAATATTTTTTAGAAAAACAATTTTAGAAAAAAAAAGTTTCCATTAAAATTATAGATGAAGTTCTTATAATTTTTCATAAGGCTTTTAATTTAAAAAAAATTAAAAGGACTTAGGCTTTAGTTGCATTCTAGCATATGATTTTGGAGCTCTGCAGATATTATTATTATTGATGACTGAACAATCAAAGGTTATTCAGTTTAAAGCTAATAAAAAACAAATAAGATTATTCTCCTAGAGGTGTCCTGGAGCAGGGTGTTTCCTACAAATGTAGTTCTTGATAATAACATACTAAAAAAACCAAAACCTCAAAATCCATTGCCTAATGTACTGCTTAGCTGTCTCTCTGTTTTTAGAACTATTAATTGAATGAATGATTAAATTCTCATTTTATTAAGAAATGAAGATACATTAAACTCTTAGGCCTCTTTGTAATCCTCAAGTTAGCATAATAATGATGATGAATAATAAGTTAATAATAATTAATAGCTCACATTTTAAAGAGCTCTTTGGTATTACAATCAATACGACAATGATATCAGCCATGATTGCTAACAATTCTGAAGTAAGTTTTAAAAATCATTAGACCTACAGAAATTTGTCCCAAAGAATTTGAATTGACCTAATGTCTCCTTTTAAGCATTTATCTCTTGGTTTACTGCTTCTGCCACCATAGGATAAGAGAATACCAGCACCTATAAAAACACATTTAGAATTCATTGATAAAGAGATTCCCATTAAAACTAATCAACACAAGTTTGGAAAGGAAGGAAAATGTGCATTGCATTCCTTACATTCCCATTGCCTTATTTCCTCTAGGTCATGAATTTGGTCCATATTCATTTTCTTGGATGTGCTAACAAATGAACCTGGCAAACCTCTCTATCAGGAGTCACAGTCACAAGTTAGGTACAGCAAAAACTAGTCCTTTCCAGAAGGAAACCCTAGCTCTGGAAAAAAATAAAAATAGCACAAAAAGTTCCTTTCCCCCCAACCAACAGCCTATTTGAGAAAGCACATTTGTATGTTCACAATGGATGAAAAACAAAACCAGAACAAACTATTCTTAGACCTAACAGTGACTCACATAAAAGAAGGTTTACTATTAATTAAGATTATTGCACGCCGATCACTTGGCCCTTGTAAGGCGAATTCCTTCAAAGTCAGAAGTTTTGTTCCTGGGTTTATCTGCAAAATAGGTCAAAGATGAGACATATAGATCTCATTTTAAAAAACATAAATACCTAGAGAAAAAAGATGTTTTTAAGTGGAAATCTTTAGTTCAATGGCAAAATTCCTCAGAAGATTATAAAGGGCTAAAATGAAGAGCTCTAGTCATTTTTTTTAACAATAAGTTTAATTAAGCATTTTATCAAACAACCAAAGAAGATGGCAGAGTTTGTTTTAAAGAAAGTAGATAAGCCCCCAAGTTGGGCGATGTAGGCTTCAGTCTTCATAGAGGAATTGTCCTGAATCAAATGGCTTCCTGATAGAAGACCTTATAATAAGATCCTTGCCTTAGCAAAGATTAAGTATAATGGTATATATCTCATTTTTTATTTACTTAAATGGGCAACTGGGGTTAAGTGACTTGCCCAGGTTCGCACAGCTAGTAAGCATCAAGTGTTTGGTCTGAGGCCGGATTTAAACTCAGGTCCTCCTGACTTCAGGGCTGGTGCTCTATCCACTGTGCCACCTAGCTGCCCCTATTTACTTAAATATTTTAAAAGAAACCCATTACCCAGAAGTATCTGATTGACATAAAATATCAAACATGTAAACTTCAGGAACAAGTTTATATATTTTAACATAATGACTTAATTTTTATCTGCCTCCAGTTTTCAAATGGATCTGAGATACCGTTACTAATAGGGGTCTTCCCTACTATCATCAACTTATCCTTTCTGCCACCCAACGTCTTTCTTACATTGCCCGTAAATTGGGGGAGGAAGAGAAGGAGGAGGTGTCCAATGTCTCAGGAACCTTCGTTATTTTCTCCTCATATTGTGAAGATTCTAGTGGAGCACATGGGCTGTCCAGCCATTATCCCTCACTCTCATAATATAACTAGCCCATCATGTATTTTTTTGTTTTTTTACCATGTATTTTGTAATGCATGTCCCAAAGTCCATTAGTATGGGTTTCTGCCCTTCTTGGTAGAGATGAAGGTTCTGCCCTGAATGAGGAGCTGGCAAGAGTTGGTGAGAGGGATGAGTCCCTTTCAAGTTTCTTTGGAGAACTCATCAAACCTCGAGTCTTTTTCTTGACTCAAGTGTTGAGTTGCTTCCAACACTCCTGGCTTCAAGCTTGGAAAGAGAAAATGGGAGAGGCCAACCCCACTGCAGGGTGCTGAAAGAAGAGACCCTGGGAAGGCTTGAGAGGTGCAGGCAGACTCCATCACACCCTTGTCTTCAGCTAGCTGTTCTAGAGACTTCAGGGAGTTTTCCCCTTGGGTGATACCAGGGACCTTCTTCCTTCACTGAGGTGAATTGCCTTAGTCCCAAGGGGAGAGGCATTGCCTGTATTTCATTGGCTATACTCTCCTATATGTGTTGCTGCTGTTTAGCTGTTCAGCTGTGTCTGGCTCTTCATGACCACATGGACCTTTGTCCTGCCAATTCTGCCCATGGGGTTTTCTTGGCAAAGATACTGGAGTAGTTTGCCACTCCAATTAGTAAATACTAGTTGACTGACTGCAGGTCAGCAACCACTCTGCAACTTAGAGTCTGGCTGGGGCAGCCAGGTGGCGCAGTGGATAAGAGTACTGGCCCTAAAGTCAGGAGGACCTGAGTTCAAATCCAACCTCAGACCAAAGACTTGACACCTACTAGCTGTATGACTCTGAGCAAGTCACTTAACCCCAATTGCCTTAAATTTTTTTTTAAATTAAAAAGTTGAAAGCCCTGAGAGGTAAAATGACTTGTCCAGGGTGGCACAGCTTGTATGTGCTAGAGGTCACCCAGCTAGCATTAAGCACCTGCTGTGTGCTGCACACTGTGCTTAGTGTTGGGAATACAAAGAAAGGCATATATAGTTGTGTGACATTGGGTAAGTCACTTAGCCTCTGTCTGCCTCAGTTTGCTCATCTATAATGCCCATCCTGTTTGGTAAGATTTTTACTTTGTTTGTTTCCAAATCAGTGATATATCTCCCTTCTTGGCAAGAAAGTTGGCTGACTGTGATGCTTTTTAATTTCTTGTTTTGTCTATTTACAGCAACTGATTGATTCAATTTTTCTGTGTAAGTATGTGTCTGTGCTTTTTTTTTTTTTGGGTGAGGCAATCAGGGTTACAGCTAGTAAGTGTCATGTGTCTGAAACTGGATTTGAACTCATATCCTCCTGACTCCAAGGCCAGAGCTCTATCCACTGCTCCACCTAGCTGTTCCTGTGTCTGTGCTTCTGTTCATATCCCTTGTTTTTACATCATTCATTTGTTTAAAAAGGCCAGCATGATAGCACCTACCTCCCAAAGTTGTTGTTAGGATCAAGTGAGATAATATTTGTAAAGTACTTAGCACGGGCCTGACACGTAGTAAGTTCTATATAAATGTTAGCTATTAATATTAATGGTGGAGGCAAAAGACAGAGCTAGGGCATACTGAGGTCACCTTGATTCCTAGGCAGCTTTCTATTCCATATGCTATGCTATCTCTCTCTGAGTTGGAACTCAAAACTGTTTCTTTGTAGATTAGAGTGTTCTTTAATTCCCATTCATACAATGCTGGTGAAATACTAGTATTAAAAAATAGAAGCTTTCTTTTAGTGGAAAAGTTTGGTGTCACAGAAGCTCTGCCATTTCCCAATGAGTTCCTCTCCACTTTGGAATCTCTGCCATGATAATTGAACACCTTTCGGAGAGCATCTATCCCCATAGTATGCCTAATCTGACATTAATGATCAGAGGGTTGTTGAACAAGGTTCTCGCTATTGTTTTTTTTCTTTCAAGGAACCTTTTCATAATTTGGATACATCTGGAGACACCTTGTTGGAAGAGAACCTTTAAAGTGTTTTGTTCTGCCACATAAAACTTTTTTGTGATCAACAAATAACCGCCACAGTGGGAGCTCATATTCTCTGCATCTTTCAGTCAGCTGTGTGATAGTAAAGATATAGTCACCTGGGGAATATCATTGTGCCTGTTTCCTACAACGTACCCAATGTATGTGTAGAGTATTCTCATTATTCAGTGCTATTTTATAGTAAAGTTGTATCAGTGAGTAGCTGTGGATGGTTTTCTACTTGCCTTTTTTTCATTAATAAGGTCTAACTGGGTTGTTTTCACTGCCTTTAGCATCTTCCCCTCTTTCGGATGACTTGTGAACCAATCCCTCAATGCCTTCACAGCTGGTGTCACCTTCAGCACTGATCCTCCCCACCTCCCTTTGTCTAATTCAGCAGTTTTTCTTGTCTTTGTTTTTTGTGGAACCATTGCTACCTACTCTTATAAACACTTCTGGAGTCTGAAGATGATGCCTTCTCTTTTCTCAATAATGAAAAGTGATTGTTACAAAAAAAAATCCCCCAAACTCTACAGATCTTTTCTACTTTCTATTTGTTGTCTTTTTACTTTTATTCTTAAATGTTCCAGGATGACTTGCCAAGCTTTACTTAAGCTGGTTTTTGCCTATTACTGTTTCTGTTTTATGAGGTAATCCCTGTTAATGCTCTGCCCATCCTTTGCAGTAAGATTTTTACAAACTAGTTTTTGTTTGTTTGTTTGTTTGTTTGTTTCTAAATCTGTGATATATCTCCCTACTTGGCAAGAAAGTCAAGCGTTGGCTGACTGTGATGCTTTTTAGTTTCTTTTGTTTTGTGTATTCACAGGAACTGATTGATTCAATTTTTCTGTTTAAGTATGTGTTTGTGTTTCTGTTCATACCCCATATTTTTACATCATTCACTTGTTTTTAAAAGGCCAGCTAGAGGTGTTTTAGTTAAATGCCATATCTTTTCCAATGTCTTTATTCTTTCATCTAGTTTTCTACTAATATTGATCTTTGTTCTAACAAGTTGGCATTTTGACTACACATAGACAGCTGATTTAAGCATGACTCATATCAGGAATACATAATTCCCTGTTCATTATAATATATTTAATTTAATTTTTAGTTGTTTATTCAGTGCTTGACATATCCAGCATCTTATTCACTTCTCAAATAAAGTATTCTTTATGTATAGCTTTGCAGCTTTTGTATAGTCTACAAGTTATGGGTCTCTCTCATTCTTTATCGCTGTTGAATATTTTCTAATGTATTTTTCACTGTCCTAATCAAATGCCATCTTTGAAGTCACAAGCATCAAATTATATGTTGATTTAATTTGGAGGGTCTCATAGAGTTCTTCATAGAGCTTTTTAACCTCTTCATGTACAACAGATATTGGTACATAAGCTACAATAATTTTCATGATGTTCTTTCTGAAAATATTTTTCATGGGTATTGCAATATGAGGTGACCAAATATCCCATAAAATGATGTTTCTTACTGCCTCTCAGTCCAAAATAAAAACTTACTCCACGAACTCAGTAATTTGCCAATCTCAGGAGAACCTGTGAGCCATCTTTTCATTTAGCTGCAACTCTTTTTTAGGTCTTCTGGTTTAATTTATGTTGAGAATGTCAAGACTGGTATGATCCAGTTCCTCTAGTGAACCCTCACTGATCATTGGACAATGATCCTATAGTTAGAGCACCATCAGCTAAGTTAAAGTTCTTAACTTAGTCTTAAATTGGTGTCAGTAGCCTCTGTTCCCTTTTCCACCACTCACACCTTCACTGCCAAATGGAAACAGGCTGCCCAGGACTGAAGGCCATTTTGCATTTTTCTTTGTTTTAAGGGTTGTGTTGGTTAAAAAATTCATCACCACTTGGCCAGCCTCCTGGTGATGACCCTTTCCATATTTAGGTAGGCTGGTTCTTGAGAAGCAGATACATTTTGTTGCTGGATTGTTTCTTCAATACCTTCACAAGAGCTTAGGCTCCAACAATATAGCCTTCAAGAACCTATGGTCACTGCCACACGATGCCATATCAGAGTAGGGCTTTGTTACCTATTCCTCTCAAAATCAACAATGCATTTCATATTGTTTATATATTCTATGGAATATTTATTGAATTATAAATTTTTTCTATTGTAATTAACTTTCCCTCCAAAAAAATCTAGCACTATGTTGCCATCTTAATTAGATTTTAAATTAGAAAGTGATCTAATTGAAATTCTTTTTCTAAAGCTGGCACTAAATCCTAAAATTAATCTTATCCCTAATTTTATCCTTGATATGAAGTTTAATCAAATAATGTTAGCCTACTCAAAAATATGATAGTAAGTGATAAAATTTACATTAAAATTCTAAAAGATGGGCTATCATGACCTGACACTTAAAGACGAGAAGCTGATTTCTGTATCTCAGTTTTGTGAAATATAAAGTAGGTGAAAATTACATAATTGCACTATAATAGCATAATACCAACTTACAATGTAGCAACATCATTATTTAAGAAAAAAGTAATAAAATTAATATATGTAAAAAGTAATACTGACACTTACCCGACCAGCATCATAAAATCCATCAGGAATCATATCATCAGATGATAAATAACCAGTCTGGCAGTACTTTAGGGAAAGATTGTTAGTAAGCAATCTTTTATAAGCTGCCTCACTAAAATTATTTTTTCGCCTTATTGATAGATTAATTTCTTCAAGGATCTCCAAAGCCCTGTCAATAAAACAAAAAAGCTTTATTTGCTCAACATAAAAACTTCACCATTAAAGTCAATTATACCCTTATTTAATATCCTAAATGACAAAGTTTTGGGGGAGAGGAGGAATAACCTCTTTCTTCTTCTTGAACTAGTAAGTAATAAATTTTGACAACTTCCCCACCCCCTAGACTAGTTACTTAATTGATCTAGGTAGCTCTAGGTGAAAAATTTTCTCTAGGAATGCAGATCCATACTATCTCTGCAATTTCTTGTCTTGAGAATTGCCTGGGACTACAGAGAACTCAAATAACTTGCCTAGTATTACATAGCCAGGATGGGTGAGCTGCCATGCTTGAACCCAGATCGTCTTGACTACAAGGCCAGATTTCTGTCCATTATACCATGCTCCTCAACCTGACAGTTACTGAGGCAAAATCAATTTTCTCTCCAAGAACGTATGCCACTAAAATAGGACACACTGAGTGAGACGAGTTATTTTTGTTCATTTGAAACAAAATTAAGATTCTGTTTCATAAGCACATAAGTTCTAGTAGTTTCTCTTGGCTACTTATCTAACCAAAAATGTGAATACAAAAGCATGTTAAAGTAAGTCTATGTATGGGGCTTTAAAGTCTTATTTCCTGATATGTAAAGGAAAAGGAACTGACATTAACCTTAGAGTAAGTGCTGTTCTGTGGTAAATTGCCCCAAACTGAACTTTTTATCTTTCCCTTTAAACCTGTCTTTTTATGAATTTAAATGCATGACCTAGTCATTGCTGTTGAGGCATTCAGTCACGTCCAACTCTTTCTGACCCCATGAACCATAGAACACCATGCCCTTCTGTCCTCCACTGTCTCCCAAAGTCCATCCAAACTCGTGTTTGTTGCTCCCATGACATTAATCTATCCATCTTATCCTCTGCCTTCAATCTTTCCCAACATCAGAGTCTTTTCCAGTGAGTCCTGTCTTTTCCTTATGTGGCTGAAGTATTTAAGCTTCAGCTTCAGTATTTGACCTTCAAGTGAATAGTTCAGTTAATTCATTTAAGTATTGATTGATTTGATCTTCTTGCTGTCCAAGGGACTCTTGAAAGTCTTCTCCAATACCGCAGTTTGAAAGTATCAATTCTGTGGCACTCAGCTTTCCTTAGAGTACAAATCTCACAGCCACACATTGCCATTGGAAAAACCATGCTTTGACTATATGGACCTTTGTTGGCAAGGTGCTGTCTCTGCTTTTTAGTATGCTGTCCAGATTTGCCATAGCTTTCCCTCGAAGGAGCGAGTGTTTTTTAATTTCATGGCTGTAGTCACCATCTGCAGTGATCTTTGAGTCTGAGAATATGAAATCTGACACTGCTTCCATTTCTTCTCCCTCTATTTGCCAGGAAGTGATGGGACCAGTTGCTATGATCTTAGGTGTTTTTTTAAAATGTTAAGTTTCAAGCCAGCTTTTACGCTCTCCTCTTTCACCCTCATTAAGAGGCTTCTTAATTCTTCTTCACTTTCTACCATCAGAGTCATATTGTCTGCGTATCCTAGCTTGTGGATATTTCTCCCAGTAACTTTAATTCAAGCTTTTTATTCAGCCTGGCATTTTGCATGATGTATTCTACATATAAGTTAAATAAATAAGGTGACAATATACAGCCTTGCATACTCCTCTCACAATCTTAAAACAATCAGTTGTTCCAGACTTGGTTATTACTATTGCTTTTTTTTTTTTGGTGAGGCAATTGGAGTTAAGTGACTTGCCCAGGGTCACACAGCTAGTGAGTATCATGTGTCTGAGGCTGGATTTGAACTCAGGTCCTCCTGACTCCAGGGCCAGTGCTTTATCCACTGTGCCACCTAGCTGCCCCATTGCTATTACTTCTTGACCTGCATACAGGAGACAAGTAAGATGATCTGGTAATACCATCTCTTTGAGGACTTGCTACATTTTGTTATGATCCACATAATCAAAGGCTTTAATGTAGACAATGAAGCATAAGTATATGTGTTTTCTGGAACTCCCTTGCTTTCTCTGTAACCTAGCCAATGTTGGCAATTTGGTCTCTAAGTTCCTCTGCCTTCTTGGAAGCCAGCCAGTACTTCTGGTAGTTCTCAGCTTATATACTGCTGAAGCCTAGCTTGCAAAATTTTAAGAATAATCTTGCTGGCATGTAAAATTATCACAGTTGTTCAGTAATTTTAATATTCTTCAGCATTGCCCTTCTTTAGGATTGGGATGCAAACTGATCTTTTCCAATCCAGTTGTCACTATGAGTTTTCCAAATTTGCTAGCTTGTTAAGTGTAAAGCACTTTAACAGCAACATCTTTAAGGATTTTAAATAGCTCAGCTGGAATTCCATCACCTCCTCTAGCTTTATTGTTAGCAATGCTTCTTAAGGCCCACTTGACTTCATTCTCTAGGATATCTGGCTCCAGATCAGTAATCACACTATTATAGTTATTGGTGATGTTTCTTATATAGTTCTTCTGCTATCGTTTTTGTCTTTTATCATGCCCATTTTTGAATGAAACATTCCCACGATGTCTCTAATTTTCTTGAAGAGATCTCCTGTCTTTCCCATTCTATTGTTTTCTTCTATTTCTTTGCATTGCTCATTTAAGAAAATCTCCTTATCTCTCCTTGCTATTCTCTGGAATTGTGCATTCAGGTGGGTATGTCTTTCCCCTTCTTTCCCTTTCCCTTTCCTTCTTTCCTCAGCTGTTTGTAAAAGCCTCATCAGACAGCCATTTTGCTTTCTTAGAAATGTTTTTTGTTGCTGCCTCCTGTACAATATTGCAAGCTTCTGTCTATATTTAGGCATTCTATCTACCAGATCTAATCCCTTAAATCTATTTATCATTTTCATTTCATATTCATAAAGGATGTTATTTAAGTCATATCTATATGGTCTGATGGTTTTCTTTACTTTCTTCAATTTAAGTCTGAATTTTTCAATAAAAAGCTCATGATTTGATCCACAGTCAGCTCCAGGTCTTGTTTTAACTGACTGTATAGAGCTTCTCCACCTTTGGCTGTAAACTATATAATCAATCTGGTTTCAGTATTGACTATCTAGTGGTGTCCCTGTGTAGAGGTGCCTTTGGAGTTGTTGAAAAAGAGTGCTATGACCAGTAAGTTATCTTGACAAAACTCTATTAGTCTCTGACCTGCTTCATTTTGTACTCCAAGGCCAAACTTGCCTGTTATTCCAACTATCTTTTGATTTCTACATTAACATTTGAATCCTCTATGATGAATGTGACATCTTTTTGTGTTATTTTCCAGAAGATGTTGTAGGTCTTCATAGAACCGATCAATGTTAGCCTCTTTGTTATCAGTGGTTACAGCATTGACTTGTATTACTGTGAACAGCTTTCCTTGGATTTGAACAGTTATCATTTGGTCATTTTTTGAGATTATATACTAGTACTGCTTTTCTCATCCTTTTATTGACTGAGGGCTACTCCATTTCTTCTAAAGGATTCTTGCCCATAGTAGTATATGTAATGATTAACTGAATCAAATTTACTCATTCTTATCCATTTAAGCTCACTGACACCCAAGAAGTTAATGTTTAATCTTTCCATCTCCTGTTTAACCATATCCAGCTTTCCTTAGTTCATAGGGGTGTGTGTGTGTGTGTGTGTGTGTGTGAGTGTGTGAAGCAATTAGGGGAAAGTGACTTGCCCAGGGTCACATAGATAGTAAGTATCAAGTATTTGAGGCTACATTTGAACTCAGTTCCTCCTGACTCCAGGACCTGTGTTCTATCCACTGTGCCACCTAGCTGCCCTAGTTCATAGATCTTTTATTCCAATTTCCTGTGTGATATTGATCTTTAGATCATCAGACTTTCTTTTCATGCCCAGACACATCTGTTGCTTAGCTTCCTTTTGGCTTTGGTCCAGCCACTTCATTAGTACTGGAGCTACTTATAGTTGTCCTCTGCTCTTTCTTCCCCAGCATGGTGTTGGACCTTCTGACCTGAGGGGGCTCACCTTTGATGTCATATTTTTATCATTGCCATTTCCTTCTCCAGCGGATCACCTTTCCCCCCCCCACCCCAGAACTCTCTGCTATGATCTATCCATCTTTGGTAACACTCTATGGCATAGCTCATACTTCCTTTGAGCTACTCAACCCCCATCCCCCCACCACGACTAGGCAGTGATCCATGAGGGGATGCACCTAGTCACCTATGTTTAAAACCTTGGAGTTACCTTAGTTTCTTTTCTCTCCCTCACCTCTCATATCTAATTGATACTCATGTCCTATTGATTATACTTCCACAGTATCTCTTGCCTCAATACCACATTTTCTTTTCTTGCTGTTATTTCCCTAATCTAGGTCCTCCTAGTCTATTGTAATAGATTCCAAATGGGTCTTCCTTTCCCTACTATTTTTACCCATTCTTTTCGCTAGAATAGTCTTCCTCATATGAGAATGTGGTTATGTCACACTCACATTTGCTAGAAAATTTAAAAAAATAAAAATTTTTTAGTGGTTCTCTACTGTCTAACAAATAAAATGCAAATTCCTCTATTCCTTGTCTTAAGCTGCTAGCACTTTGCCTCTCCCAACTTCAGTCATATTACTGTATGCTTTGGCCAAACTGGGCTATTTATTGTCCTCTTCTCCACAATCTGCCTTACATTCTCCTTCCTCAATATTTGTTCATGTTCTTTCTTTTTCCTGGAATGTCTTCCCCTCCATCTAAAGGTTACCGTCAAATACCATCTTTTGCAGAGAACCTGGGCTTATCTCTCCCAGTCTCCACTGGTAGCAACCATGTGGAAATAAATATGACATAGTGACATGCACCTCTCTAATGCACTCATGATGTATTATTTTATTACCATCATCAGTCTGTCATACATTAAGCTATTAGGCTATAAGTTCCATGAGGACAAGAAGAGTGCCTAATTAAATTTTGTATATCTCCTAGTATCTAGCATAGTATCCTACACATAGCAGGTGCTAAATAAATCAATCAAGCAATCAATTAGCATTTATTAAACACCTATACTATGTGCCAAGCATTTTGCAATTCAAATGATTAAAAAGAGAATCTGTGGAGAAGCAGAGATGAAAAACATAGCGCACATTTGAGATAAACCTTAAAACTATTAGAAGACTGTTAGGAAATTGGACTGGTGTTTGGTGTTTGGCAAAGGTAGCAGAAGTTTTGTTTGTTTTTATTTTAAGGGGGTGTGTGTGTGTGTGTGTGTGTGTGTGTGTGTGTGTGTGTGTGAATACATTAAAGGCATGAAGGAAGGAGCTGATAGAAAGTAAGTGGTTCAAGATGCTACAGAGAAGACAGCCAGGGAGGTAGTAACTGTGAGGTAACAAGTTCTTCAGCTGATGTGGAAGAATCCCCGGCAAAGTTGAGGGAATCTATTTTTGAGAAACTGAGGAAAATATTTCCCTGTGAGCAAATTCATAGGCACTATTACTTCATCAGCATAATGATGATGCATAGACATGCATAGTTCCTGAGCGCTCTGCTGTTTAAAGGGGTACAATGAAGTATGTGGAAAGTTGGTCCACTTCCTTGGGATGGACAGTTTGTTTCTTCATGTTCAATCCATGCTTCTATCTTTACAGTATTTGCTTCTATAAGTTTAAAGAACAAGATGTTTGTTTCAAATTTATATATCCTACCACTTATTTAAGTAAATCTTTATTTGTGCAAATTGTCAAATGTGAACTAAACAATGCTATGCTTAAAAAAGCCTGTGACTGTAAACCATCATGCCTATTTAATCTGCTTTTTACTCATTTGGACATATTTCATGTTGTTCTTTGTCTACAACTTATGTCACTATGTAAACAGTGAAAATTTGATTTTTTTTTTTTTGGCTAGGCAATGGGGCTGAGTGACTTGCTCAGGGTCACACAGCTAGTAAGTGTCAAGTGTCTGAGGCCAGATTTGAACTCAGGTCCTCCCAACTCCAGGGCTGGTGCTCTCTATCCACTGTGCCACCTAACTACCACCAACAGTGAAAATTTGAACCGCTTTAAAAATAAATACAATTTTTGAAGTTAGTATACATCTATAATTTAAGAACTACATTATTGACATTTAGATAAGTTGTTAAACATCGTTATTAAAATGACAAAAAAGAAACAGCTTCTTACCCTAGTTTGCATAATTCAGCAGATGTTGGCTCATCACTTGCACAAACCATCACAGCCCAGCTAGCTTGTTTTCTGACTTCATCATTATTTGAGCGTAGCAATTCCACAAGTGGTTCAAGTCCACCTGCATTTTTAAACTAAACATAGGGGAAAAAAGTAATTCACTGAGTATTTATTAACCTTTAAAGATAATTCTCTTTTCTTCAAGATGCACCCAATAACTGAGAATAGTTAGATTGTTAAAAGTTTTCACCAACAAAAATGCAGCTATTACAATTATTTCGACACTTCAATGAGCCATGCTTCCATCAATTTGAGTATTACCTGCAGAGAAGCATATGAAATCCCTCTTTGCTTTAGTAGATATTATCTTTCCCCAAAAAACCTACCTTTTCTTCTAACTTCCCTAGCTCTGTTCAGGGCATTACCATTCTTCTAATCAAAGATCCATATATCGTATCAATAGAAGCAGACAAAGCCTTGAACAAAATATAGCACTTGCTTATGTTAAAAGTAATGAAACTCATAAAAATAAAATTACTGTTCCTTACTCTAATCAAACATATTTATTTAAAATTAAAAGCCGGCATCATTTTAATGGATAAATATCAGAAACTACCTCAATAAGATCAGAGGTAAAGATAGGAATCCCACAGTCTCCCACCATTATTTGACATAATATTATAAAAACTAGTTATAGAACTAAGACAAGAAAAAGAAATCAAATGATTAAGTGTAAGCAAACAGAAAGATATTTGCAAACATATTTTACTTTAAAAACCTTGAAGAATCAACAAGAATAATGCTTTTAGCAAAACAGAATACAAAACAAGTTTGTAAAAAATCATCATTACTTTATTGTGAGGATCAAGTAAGATAATAGTTGTAAAGCACTTAGTGTCTGGCACACAGGAAGCACTATATAAATGTTAGCTATTATTATTATATAAATATAACTACAAATTTTTTTCATATATGTTAAGACCTCAGTAAAGGGAGATATAGCCAATATTCAAGCCTAGACCAAATATAACATTATAAATATCATAATGCTCGATCTTTTTAGATTTTGTGTCATATCAATCAAATCACAAAGGAATAATGAATAAAGTTCACAATAATAATAATAAAATTCATATGGGAGGGAGGCCAAGATTATAAATGGAAATAGTAGGTAAAGGAGAAGAGTTGGCATTACCTGTTCTCATTGTCATATTGTAAGCAACAATTATCAAAAGTACCTGGTTCTGGTTAAAAATATATATCAAACCAGATCATTAGAATAGCCTTACCCTAGAAATATATACGTGCAGCAATCTAATGTTTGATAATTTCCATAATAAAATCTGTTAGGAGAGAGACTCTTCATTTACAACTGTTAGGAAAACAATCTGATGACATGTTAGCTGACATTTTTGTAGGACTTTAAGGTTTGCAGATCACTTCATATATGTTATCTCATTTGATCTTCATCACAACTTTTGTCAGGAGGATGCTATTATTATCTCATTCTACAGATGAGAAAACTGAGGCTGAGAGAAGTGAAGTGACTTACTTAGGGCCACACGGCTGGTGAGGGACTGAGGCAGAATTTGAATTCAAGTTGTCTAGACTTCAGGCTCAGTGCTTTGCACGGTGCTACCTAGCTGCCACAAAAAATTTCTAATAGATAAGTGATCTACATATAAAAAGTTATGCCACACACACACACACACACACACACACACACACACAAATAGAGAATAGATCCTTCATAACCGTAGGTAGGGTAAAAATTTTGATTATATAAAATTAAAAAGCTTTTTCATAAGCAAAGGACGATGCAACTACAATAGGAAGAGAAATACGGATTGAAAAAGAAAATGTTTTTCATTAAACACCTTTGATAAAAAGCCTGACAATCAGAATTGATGTGGAAGTGCTAATGAATCTGTAAGTATTCTCATAGATAAGAAAATAATGTGCAAAAAGTTTACAAAAGAACAAATGCAAACTATCAAACACCATATGACTAGCTTTGGAGAGAGTGGCTTGGCTTCAAAAGCTCTCTGGCCTCAGTTTCCTCATGATTAAAATGAGGGAGCAAAGATTCATCTTTCTGAATTCAAATCTGGCTTTAGATACTGACTAGCTATGTGACCCTAGGCAAGTCACTTAACCCTGTTTGCCTCAGTTTCCTCATCTGTAAAATGAGCTGGAGAGAATATGGAAGGTGGAGCCAAGATAGCGAGTGAAAGCAGTGACTTGCTTGAGCTCTCCCCCAAACCTCTCCAAATACCTGTAAAAAAATGGCTCTAAACAAATTCTAAAGCAGCAGAACCCACAAAAAGACAGAGTGAAACAAATTTCCTGCCCAAGACAGCCTGGGTGGTTGATCAGAAAGGTATATTTCACCAGGCTGGTAGAGGAGCACAGTTTGGTGTGGGCATGTGGGCCACAGCAAACTTGGAGCAGGCCTCAGAGGACTGAATCGTAGGCAGCTGCGGCGGTTTCCAGACCTCTCAACCCACAAATGCCAAAGACAACTTAGAAGGTCAGTGGGAAAAGTATGTTTCTGCGGTGAGAGAGAAGCTAGGTCCCAGCCCCAGTCTCCGAGCGTGGCCCCGGGGTGGTGGCTACCTCCTGAGCTTCTGGCCCACAGACTGACGGGGATTGCAGGGATCTCTCTACTGGTGCTGAGGCAGGATTCTCTTGCTTTGCCTGTGCTTGGATCTGGGTCACAGTTCTGGGTGGCAGTCCTGGGGCAAGGAGGAGTGCTGGTGTGGTGGAGTTCATAGTGGTGATGAAGAGAAAATCCTCCTCACAGTGCCAAGACAGAAAAGAGTGCTTGTGGTCACTCATAGACCAGGGCAGAGGCCAGGAAAGGAGTAAACACCTCACCCCTTGTCATACCAAATTTACAGGTCTGTGGAAGTATCTCTGAAAACAGCTGTACAAACCCCCAAAGCTTGGGACAGTACAGTCTCCACATTGGAAGCAGAACTCTACCTTAACAAAGAGTTTATAACTCACGTAATTGGCTGGGATCATGAACAAACCTCGCAAAAAGGTGTCAGACCATAGAATCTTTTTTTGATAACAAAAAAGATCAAAATGTACAATCAGAAGAAGACAATGAAGTCAAAGCTCCTACATCCAAAGCCTCCAAGAAAGATATGAATTGGTCCCAAGCCATCGAAGAGCTTGAAAAGGATTTTGAGAAGCAAGTAAGAGAAGTAGAGGAAAAACTAGGAAGAGAAATGAGTGATACAAGAAAATCATGAAAAACAAGTCAACAGTTTGCTAAAGGAGACCCAAAAAAATACTGAAGAAAATAACACCTAAAAAATAGCCTAACCCAAATGGCAAAAGAGGTCCAAAAAGCCAATGAGGAGAAGAATGCCCTAAAAAGCAAAATTGGCCAAATGGAAAAGGAAGTCCAAAAGCTTACTGAAGAAAATACTTCCTTAAAAATTAGAATGGAGCAATTGGAAGCTAGTGACTTTATGAGAAATCAAGACACTGTAAAACAAATCCAAAAGAATGAAAAATTAGAAAACAATGTGAAATACCTCATTGGAAAAACAGCTGACCTGGAAAATAGGTCCAGGAGAGATAATTTTAAAATTATTGGACTATCTGAAAGCCATGACCAAAAAAAAGGACCTAGACATCATCTTTCAAGAAATTATCAAGGAAAACTGCCCTGATATTTTAGAACCAGAGGGCAAAATAGAAATTGAAAGAATCCATCAATCTCCTCCTGAAAGAGATCCCCAAAGGAAAACTCCTAGGAATATTGTTGCCAAATTCTAGATTTCCCAGGTCTAGGAGAAAATATTGCAAGCAGCCAGAAAGAAACAATTCAAATATTATAGAAACACAATCAGGATAACACAAGATTTAGCAGCTTCTACATTAAGGGACTGCAGGGCATGGAATATAATATTCTGGAGGGCAAAGGAGATAGGATTACAACCAAGAATCACCTACCCAGCAAAACTGAGTATAATCCTTCAGGGGAAAAAATGGTCATTCAGTGAAATAGAGGACTTTCAAGTATTCTTGATGAAAAGACCAGAGCTGAATAGAAAATTTGACTTTCAAATACAAGACTCAAGTGGAATATGAAGAGGTAAACAGGAAAGAGAAATCATAAGAGACTTATTAAGGTTGAACTGTTTACATTCCTGCATGGAAAGATGATATTTACAACTCATGAGACCTTTGTCAGTATTAGGGTAGTTGGAGGGAAAAATTATATGTATGTATATAGATAGATAGATATTGATAGAGGGCACAGGGTGAGTTGAAGATGAAGGGGTGATATCTGGAGAATAAAATTAAGTGGTGAGAGAGGATTATATGGAGAGAAGGAGAAAGGGAGAGGTAGAATGGGGTAAATTATCTCACAAAAAACAGAAAAGAAAAGGCTCTTGCAGTGGAGGGGAAACGGGGGAAGATGAGAGGGAATGAGTGAATCTTATTCTCATCAGATTTGGCTTAAGGAGGGAATTAATCTTGTGGGCAGTGGGGTGTAATGGGGAGAATGGTGGACTCAGAGTCACAAAGACCTAGACTCAAATTCCTGCATCACACACTTATTATGACTACACGCATGACCCTGGGCAAGTCAGTTAACTTCTCTCAGACTCAGTTTCCTCATCTCTAAGTTGGAGGTGATAATGGCACCTACTTTACATGGTTTTTATGAGGGTCAAATGAGATAATATATGTAAAGGACTTTGCAAAATTTAAAGTGCCATGTAAACGTCAACTATTATTATTGTAATCACTGCATTAAGTGTTTTTGCTTAGCTGTATTGGGAAAAATGAATTTGTGGTAGATTTGTGGTATATATTGCAAAATATATTAATACATCATAATGAATTCCATAACAACTACTCACATTTATATGATATTTTCCTTATATGCTTTAAGGTAAGTAGTGCAAATATTATTTTCTGCATCTTATAGATGGTAGTACAAATAGTATTACCTCCATGCTTCCCATAGAATTATGGCATAAATGATGGATAGGCTCCTAGGTTCAGTCAAAAGAGTCCATTTGCTCAATAATATACCTGATTATATGATACATTTATGAGAAACAACAGAATGTAAAGGTATCAGTTAGATAAAGAAAGCAATGAAATTGAGGGGTTTTTTTTCCCATCTTGGAGGAAAATTTAAATAGTGAGAGTGAGAAGAGCTTTTCTTGAGCAAGAAAGGTGGAGAATGCAGAACAAAGTGAAAGAGAACACATGTCTAGGTATGTAGATGTATGCATATGCATTCATATACATACATACATGCATAAAGAGAATGTGTATTTGCATATATATGAAAGGAATGTGTTTGTATAAATGTGCGCATCGATATAATATGCGTGTGTATATATACACTCATACACACATACACAGGCTAGTTGAGGTTGACTTAATTGAGCCAGAGGAAAAGAAAAGCTCATGAATGTGCATGAGCCTAAGAAAGGGAAAGAAGGAAATATTGGTCCTGACAATTCACCATTTTTATCATTTTTGCTAAGTGGGGAAGGGAGGGCTACAGCTGGGAGGGGAGAAATGTTAGTGGTTGTTGTGGGATCTGGAGTGTCAAAGTGTTTAATTTGTCAATCTGGTATATATGAGATAACTGGTACCAATGCAGTTCTTTAAAATTTGCAAAACCTTTTGCCTGGATGACTTCATTTTAGACCTGAGCATAATGAAGATATTCACAGCCCAAGCAGTACCTCCATATGAAATAAAGTAAAATCATTTAAACCCAAATAGGAATCCAAGATCTCTTCCACTGCATCCTCATTTTTAGAAGGGGCACAATAAGATATATTTATTTAACAATTAATATGAAATCCCCAGGATATTTAAGGAAAGACTCCATGAGTATGGAAAGATACCAACTCAGGCTGTCTTCAAGACGACAGAGTAGGGAGAATCAGAAACGGCCAGCCTTCTCATGATTATGGCAGCAAATATTAAAAAACAAATAAACAAAAAAAAAAACCAAACTGAGGAATGATCAAGAAATCCAAGGAGAAATTACAATAAGTGTATTTTGCCAACTTAGATACACACAAAGAGAGAGCCAGAAGCCTGTGGCTATGGGGGAAAGTTCTAGCCAGAAAAGTATGGCCCAGGAGGAAGCCTTCTGCTCCAAGACCAGAACAAGCCAGGGAAGCCTGCAGCCATGTTTTGGGGTAGTGAGCTGGGAGTTGAGACGAGGCTTAACCAACAATGCCCAAAGCATTCGACCTCCAAGCAGGGTCCAAAGCCTTCAAGACCAAGACGAGGAAGGCAATATTTAAGGTGTGCTCTGGATTAGACCATTCAGAGCTCTCTACCTCTCTGTCACCCCAGAGTGATATCATTGGTCCTTCACTGCCCTCTGTCCTTGCAACTGGGTTCAGTAAGCTGGCTACAAGCCCCTCATGAGGTCCTAGAGGCACACAGCAGTGCCAGGGAAGGCCTTACTATTCCTTTCAATTCAGAAAGTAAGGCTGAAAGTATCGTAGAAGCAAAGACATCAAAAACACAAACCCAGAAGAAGAAAATAAACCCCCAACATTTACAAACAAAGCCACAAAAAATAAGTCAGAGATTTTACAGAAGCTGAATTCTGAAATAAAGCATGAATTTTTCAATGAATGTGTAAAGGAAATGGAAGCTATGAAAAACTAGGAAGGAAACGAGAGCTCTGAAGAAAAAAATTAAGAGAATAAACACTTTGGTACATTATATATTGTATACTGACTATATGTTGTTGGGGGGCAGCTAGGTGGTACAGTGGACAGAGTGCCAGGCCCGGAGTCAGGAAGACTCATCTTCCTGAGTTCAAATCTGGCCTCAGACACTTACTAGCTATGTGACCCTGGGCAAGTCACTTAACCCCATTTGCCTCAGTTTCCTCAGCTGTGAAATGAGCTGGAGAAGGAAATGGCAAACCATTCCAGCATGTTTGCCAAGAAAACCCTAAATGGGGTCGTGAAGAGTCAGACACAACTGAAAACAACTGAACAACAGATATATATTGTTATAGCCCAACCATAAGCAATTAATATGTCTTAAATTATTTAAGTCTGACTTTATCTCTGTAAAAAGTATTTTGTAGTTGAATTTGCCAGTTCCTATTTATGTCTTGGTCAATTAGTCAGTCAATAAACATTTATTAAGTGCCTACTATGGGGCCAGGCACTGTGCTAAATTCACCTACCTGTGTCTTAGTAAGTAGACTTCTAAATATTTTATTAAATTTTATTAAATATTCTGTAGTTGTTCTGAATGGACTATTTAATCAGTCAACCAATCAATAAAGATTTATTAAATGACTATACATAGTAGTCACTAGACAGCACTGGGGATATAAAAAGAGGCCAAAGACAGCACTCAAGGATCTTACAATCTAATGGTGGAGACAGGATGTAAACACAGCAGCAGGGCATTACAACATTCCAGCTGCGAGGGGACTTCATCAGGGTGCTGGCAGTGTCAAAGGAGAGAAAAGAGTCTATTCAAAAGATGTTGCAAAGGTGAAATCAACAGGCCTTCAAGAGAGTTTGGATGGTATAGGTGTGCGATAGTGAGAAATCCAGGATGATTCCTAGGTTGTGAGACTGAGGGACTGGGAGAGGGGCTGCCCTCTACAGTAATAGGGAAGGTAGGAAGGGTGGGAGGAGGGTTTAGGGGAAAGATAACATGTTCTGTTTCAGACACTTTGAGTTTTAGATGTCTACTGGACATCCAGCTTGAGATTTCTGAAAGACAGTTGGAGATAAGCATTTGAAGATCAGCAGAGTTTGGGGCAATATAGGCATGTATGAGAAACAAAGAGAGGGTAATTAAATCCATGAAAGGCAATGAGATCACCAAGTGAAGTAGTATAGAGGGAGAAGAGAAGAAGGTCCAGGACAGAATCCTGTGGGACACTTACTGCCAGAGTATATGATCTGGAGAGAAAGATCCAGCAAAGGTGACAGAGAAGGAGCAGTCAGATAGATGGCAGGAGAATCTGGAGAGAATGATGTCCCAAAAACCTAGAGAGAAGAGAGTATCAGGGAAGAGAGAGTGATTAACAATGTTAAAAGGCTTCAGAGAGGGAAAAAAGGGAGTGAGAAAAGACCATTGGATTTGGCAACTAAGAGATCAATGAGCAAGAACAGTTTCAGTGGAATGGTAAGGCTGGAAGCTGAATTGTAAGGGGTTAAGGAGAGGGTAGAAGGAGAGAAATCAGAGGCACTATGGAGGTTAAGTACAAGAGGTAGAAAAGATACAGGACTGAGAGTTAGCGAGGATGAAAGAACCAAGTAAGGGACTTTTTCACTTCAGAGGAGACATGGGCATATTTTTAGACAGTAAGAAATGAGCCAGCAGAGAAGGAGAGATTGAAAGTAAGTGACAGATGACAGAAAGAAGGGTCAATCTGCTGGAGGAGGTGGGATGGAATGAGATCCCTCGAGCAAGGAGAAGGATTGGCCTTGGCAAGGAGCAAGGCCACATGTGAGACATGGATGAAGGAGGAGATGGTGGCAGAAGGCACTCTCCTGAGTGAGAGGAGATGAGGAAGAGGGAGCTCATGGACGATGGCCTCCATTTTTTTCCTGTAAAATATGAGACCAGGTTTGTGATTTTTAGCTGAGATTTTGAGAGGCAGGCAGCAGAGTGTAATGGGGAAAAACAGCAGATTTTTAGTCAAAGTGTGTATGTGTGTGTTTGACTCCTGGCACTCCTGTTTAAAACTGGTGGAGAGACCTCTCCAAGCCTTGTTTTTCTCTTAAGCACAATGTGGAGAATCTCTAAGGTTCATGCCAGCTCTTCATTCTATGATTCTAAGGCACATTTTAAAAAGAAGTATGTCAATCTCTCAAAAGGTGCTGAATAGGTAAATTGGAATGAAGAGTACTAAAATTGTCACCTCAATCCTTGCATCCACGTCACAGGCCACCGCGGCTACGGTGAGAGCTGCTTTACTCTGGACAAAGGGATTGGAGGAGCTCAGAGGTTGGATAATGGCCCGCATAACGTCATGGCCCTGCATCACCATGCGCAGGGGCTCCTGGGTAGCCATGTTTGTCAGGACGGTGGCAGCGTTGGCGACGGCCTTGTCTCTCTTGCAACTTAAGATATTTATTAAGGCGTCAATAGCGTCAGCTTCAGCGGCAGCACTGGTAAATGCAGAGAAAAACACATCATGATGAAAACATCTTCCAAATGCCCTGCCAAATAGTTATATCAATGAAATGTTAATTTGTGAACACAAATCACAGGTTAGAGTCATTCATGACAGCATCCTCAAGGTAACCTGTACAGTTTTCGGATAGGAATTCATTGGAATGATCACTTTGCTCTTTCTGCAGCTTGTTAAGTGTAAAATGCACCATGGGAATTTCTACTGTCCGGTGATAACTGTAGCGTGAGAAGAAAGTTCTGTGAATGCTCCTGGGAATTATTTTATTGAAAATGTGAGCAGAAGGAATACCACCAACAGTCTTTTTGAGGTAAACAAAGAAATTAATATCTACATGGCAAAATAACTAATAATGATTCTCAAATTACTAGCTAATCACAGGCAGAAGTGAACTCATTTCAAACCACCAAATCTCATCTTGCAAACAGGTTCTCTAATTAAATATATTACACACTCAACTAAATCAATGACATATGCATTCAAATAAGTAAATAGGTTGTGATGTTGGCCCATCCGTGTGTGCCAAATTTTAAAGTTTCTTGTTTCTAATATAGTAAATTGATTTATTGTATAGTTAGCTAATTATTAGACACAAAGACATTTCTCCACATCACTGAAAACCCAAAATCTCCTTGTAAGGAAACCAACTTCAATAGTCTTTACTTTCATCACTTAAAATTCAGGAAACATAGAGTAAAATTATGAGACAATTAAAAAACCTTAGCCAGAGAAAGAAAACTTTAATTTTATTCTTTAAAACTTAGAATAATTTTTGTACTTTAGAGCATTATATTTTTTTTCTAATTACATGTAAAGATAGTTTTCAACATTCATTTTTATAAGATTTTGAGTTCCAAATTTTTCTCCCTTCCTCCCTTCCCTCACCCTTCCCCAAGATAGCAAGCAATTTGATATAGGTTATACATGTACAATCATGTTAAACACATTTCCACATTAGTCATGTTGTGAAAGAAGAATCAGAACAAAAGGGGAAAACCATGAGAAAGAAAAAAAAAGAAAACAGCATGTTTTGATGCATTCAGACTACATTGTTCTTTCTGTGGATGTGGATGGCATTTTCCATCACAGGTCATTTGGAATTGTCTTGGATAATTGTATTGCTGAGAAGAGCTAAATCCTTCATAGTTGATCATTGCACAATGTGGCTGCTGCTGTGTACAATGTTCTCCTGGTCCTGCTCACTTTACCCAGCATCAGTTCATGTAAGTCTTTCCAGGTTTTTCCTGAAACCCGCCTGCTCATTTCTTCTAGCACAATAGTATCCCATTACATTCACATACCACAGCTTGTTCAGCCATTCCCCAACTGATGGGCATCCCCTCAATTTCCAATTCTTTGCCACCACAAAAAGAGCTCCTATACATATTTTTGGGCATGTGGGTCCTTTTCCCTTTTTTACAATCTCTTTGGGATACAGACCTATTGTTGGATCAAAGGGTTTGCACAGTTTTATAGCCCTTTGGGCATACTTCCAAACTGCTCTCCAGAGTGGTTGGATCAGTTCACAATCCACCAACAATGCATTATTGTTCCAATTTTCCCACATCTTCTCCAACACTTATCATTTTCCTTTTCTGTCATATTAGCCAATCTGACAGATGTGATGTGGTACCTCAGAGCTGTTTTAATTTGCGTTTCTCTAATCAATAGTGATTTAGAGCATTTTTTCACATGACCAAAAATAGCTTTTATTTCTTTATCTGAAAACTGCCTGTTCATGTCCTTTGACCATTTATCAATTGGGGAATGGCTTGTATTCTTAACACTTTGACTCAGTTCTCTATATAGTTGAGAAATGAGGCCTTTATCAGAAACACTGGCTGTAAAAATTTTCCCAGCTTTCCACTTTCCTTACTTTGAATAATTTTTTTTTAAAAATGCCATTCAATGATAGTTAGAATATCTTACCTTTAATGAGAAGAAAAGCTCATCATTTAAAAACCAACATTCTCCAAAGATTTAAAAATTAATATCATGTAGAGGGAAATGGTGAGGGATATAGTGTGGGAAAACAGCATGCGTCATATAACCAATAAGGAACTTCAAAGAAAAAGAGTAAAAGATATCAAGGAAATGTATGATAAGAAGAGAGGTTAAGCTGGTCACATGGCAAACGCAAGAGATGGACCCCCCCCCCCAGAGTTCTCCACTGGGACTTTTGTGATGTGAGGAGAATCCAAGAGAGTGTGCTATAGCATACTGCGTGGATGCCCTGTGTTCGTGAGAGCACTTAGACAGTATTGAAGGGGAGGCACTGATGGATTGCAGTCTGCATCACTGGGAAGAAGAGCCAGATTGATCAGATTACAGATTTGTTTGAATATTTAAGTATCTTGACTTAGATAATAGAGTCAACATGGGGTCTAAAAAGTTGGGCTTTGTTCTTAATTATAGGAGAGGTAAAGAGAGCCAAAAAAATTAAAGATGAACATTATTTTTACAATTTACACTGGATGTATTCTTCCACTAGCAAGAAGAGAACACTGGAACAATAGGAAAAATGATAGCAAGAATAAAGGAGCTTAGATGAACATTATTGTCCCTATACATATACTCCCTTTTTCATGTTCATTTTTTACCATTTCATGTTTCACTTTCTTTCTGCTTAAATGTTTCCTTTAAGTTGATTTAACTTGGATGAAAATATTGTGAAGGGGGAAAGCATAGTCTATATTTTCCTTAGGTGTCTCCCCCTCTAGAATGTCCCTGGGGAAGCATTTGACTTCCATTCTTAAAAACTGAAATTAACATTTTTCTTATTTAATTTTGCTTTTCTTTATAATAATGTATAATACTTATAATATATGTCATATACAATATATTATCAACTTACATGATAATCAGATATATTTGTGAATAACAAATTTACTATCTTCAATAAATTGCCACTTAAACAAAAATTTCTTACATTTTTATTTTAAATTGAATTGACATTGATCTCTTTATGTACATTTTCTGATTGTAAAGTAGATTTTTAAACCAGCTCAAAAATCCATTTTTCTTTCCTTTGGGGCATATTTTAAACCACTTAGTTTGCACAACCAAAACTGCTAATAGGAGAAACAACATTAAATAAATAAGTATGTATAAAGTACATAGAGAGAAAAGGCAAAGTAACTTTAGAGAGGAAGGCTCAAGTGGCCAGAGGGACCAGGGAGGCTTCCTGCAGACGATGACTTTTGAGCCAGATCGTAAAAGAAGCCAAGGATGGTAGGTAGAAGTGAGGAAGTAGAGCATTCCAACCATAGAGGAAAGCTAGTACAAATCCACAGAGATTGGAGATTAAGTATTGTGGACAAAGAACAGCTTAATTAGTCTGGTATTGCTGGACTATACTCTTTATGGAAGGGAGTCAAGTGTGAAAAGACTGGAAAGCTAGGAAGAGAGGCAGATGGTAGAGAGCCTTAAAAACCAAATAAGGCAATTTGGCTACTTCTTTGCTAAATTTAATATACTTCTGTAAAAATTGTTTACTGAAATGTTTATTTTTATTAAGTTCATAAGAAAAAAAAATTACAAAATCAGATCCAGAAGAAAAAATTCCCATCATTAGTTTCTCTACCTTTTGAACAATGTTATTATACAGTCAAGTTAAAAAATTATTAATGGCTTTGCTTTGTGTAAATAAAGAGCTCAAATACATGTTTGAATGATCAAAGTCCCCTCATCACTACCATATCATATCTCTGTGCAAAGTTGAGACCTGGTTCCCAAACTCATCTATTCTTTCTTGTCCAGGTGGTACGGAACATACTTTCATGAGAATGTTGCTCCTGTTTCTGATTCTGTTTATCTTTGACCAAATTCATTACACACACACACACACACACACACACACACACAACACACGAATTCTTTACATGTGTAGTATATATACATATATACTACATATTCTTAATATGTGATACAACTTCCCTCCCCATCCCCAACATTTTTGCCTAGCCCATTAGGGTAAACCCCTCCAGACATGGGTCTCATCCTAACAAATTTTACGGTTACCTATGAAGTCAAAGTTACTTCCTTGTATTAAAATCTCTAGTCTACCTTGCTCGATAACCCTAGCTTTCTTGTTTCATAGTGCATACAGTTAGATAAAAGGTGCTACAAATCACCATTTGTTGGTCAATCATCCTAGTTCATTTTTCCAACAAGGTTAATATTTTGAATAGTAAATTGATTGAACTGATCAGTTTTTCAGCATGAAACAACAGGTTGTCCCTACTATAGTGACATATTTGCCTGGGCTAGCTTGGTATTTAGAATCCTGGAACAACCAAGATGTAGCACACTATCTGAATTATATGCCCAAACAAACTGTGAATCATGGTTCCCTTCAATGATGAATACTAGACACAGATATTAGCAATATAATTGCCATTACAACCTAATACTTGGAATAAAGACTTTCTTTTTAGCCATATATACCAATTAAGTGAAAACACAGTGTAACATAGTAGACAGGGCACTCACTGAGTTTGGAATCCTGTATTTCAAATCCTACTTCTGTTACTACTTGTGTGTTCTTGGGCCTCAGTTTCCATATTTGTAAAACACTAAGGTTGGAGTAGTCACTCTTCCCAAAAATGAATCATTCAGACATTCAAATTTTGTATCCCATAACAAAATGAGACAAATGGGGAGGGAAGGAATAGAAAATGTGCTTACGCTATAAAGATTAGCCTTCATATATGTGATGTTAACGAAATTGTGATGTGTCAACCATTATTAAGATGTCTTTATTACTGTTTGAAGGAGAATAATATGACCATAAAAAAGATACAATGATAACTTTATATTATATATTACAACATAGATGTCAAGCTTGAGTTTCACCCAACACTGAAAATCTTTATTATCATAGTCAATGGAAGCCTGAGAAAATAAAGTCTTTTCCTATGTATTAAAGAGAACGGCCCTTGGATCTTCTTACATATCCTTGAGGCCAATATCTATGATGTTTTTCATCTTTGCTTCTCTAGTGCCCAGCACAGTGCCTTGGTTATAACTGAAGCTTAATGAAAGGATGGTAAATAAATCTCAATTGCAAATAAAACTGAAATTCTTATTGAATAAATGTTCAAGTCTAATACTTTATTCCTGCACATACTACTCTTATGTAGAGAAAAAAAAAACTTAAACCACCTAGAAGAAAATAAATTTTCCTTCATGTTAATTGGTTAACTGTTTCTCTCATCATACAATAGAATGGTCAAGGTGTTAGAATAGATAACAAATGACTTTTATGGTGTTTCTTCACTTTTTTTGTAT